ATGATTCTGCTAGATGCAAGTCAAAAATCATTCAAAAATAACTTGTTCTACCCAGTTTTGCGTGCTGAATACGAATCTGAAGTCAGTTTGTGTCAATTTGGAAAAAAATGTATCCTTTTGAGGAATGAGACTTATGGTCATTAGCTAGGGTAGGTAGAGTGTGGTTCGTACTAACTCGGTCCCCAGTTTTTTTTCTAGGAAAATTTTATGTCAAAAGATGTATCTCACTAAGATCTATGTTTGGTAAAAAAGATCATTCTAGCATCTCTTACTCAGCTCGAGAAAACTTCAAAAGACTGTCATTTCGATAAAAAGTCATATCTCGAGTTTTTGACGTACAGAGAATTTTTTATCGCATATATTAGTTATTAAAATAGGATAGAATTGTAGCGGAAACCGTATTTTATCAAATGAGATGTTTCCGAGCTTCAATGGCCAAGCCGTTCATGAGATAATGTCAAAATATTGAGTGCACCCTCAAGATAGCCAAAGCAAATGACCTAATATTTTGGATTTGGCTATGGTTTAACTGGACCTGTAATTTGAGAAAATAAAAAATGGAAAAAAAAAAAATTTTTCCCGGCGCCTCTCTGATAAAGTAGGGGTCCCCTCTGGCGGACGCTCTCTTAAGCGAATCATTATTATTCTTTCATTTACCGTCTCCCATACCGATCTCGATTCGTTCCAAACATTAGATGCTTGTTTTGTCGAGATAAATTGCAACCCCATGAGCAGATCTTGTTTTGTTGCAAATTGAAGCACCAGAATACACCATACGTAGAATAACCATCTTTAGTAATAACACCCGAGTCCTATATAGCAGTTTCACTTAAAGCTGCAATTTGAATTCGATGTTTCTGTAATTGCTTGATAATTATTTCTCTCTTGACTTGTCGAAAGCACGAATGTACGTTCCACCCACGAAAGAAAGCAGTTTTTTAGTGCATTTGTACATTTTCTCTGATCCTTTTCATTAGCCAGTAAAAGTTTAAAGTCCTATTCGTAGGGGGCTAGCCTAGAAACAAGACAAGGTAGCTACCATCAGCCCATGAGTGTCTCTCATGACTGCTATACAGCCATGAGACCCTGTGGATGTTAGCACATGCCTGGCAGGCGGTTAAGGAACTGTTTGGATAAGTTGTTCTAAAACAAAAAGAGTTCAATATTCACATCCTTATGATACGATAACCTATTGTGAACATTTAGTAATTACTTGTGCCACTGTAACATTTGGCTTTAGTTATGGAGGCATTATTGGTTTACTTGGTTATCATGTTGAAAGTAAAACAAATATATTCTCAAACAGATTTTTAATTTATCTTTAATAAAACGATGATTTATTAATTTGAATGTATTATAATTTGAAATAAAGCAAAATATTTATTGATTGATAAACGATTCTATATCTTTATTCTACAAAATTTTATAACAGTCGATAACGATACATTTTTCTGCGAAATAATCACTTGTATGCAAATAATTTATTGTTCGAAAGTTATGTCAATATTCAAAGAGAAAGACCTTCATAAAGAATCGATTGAATAGTCGATAAATGTTTATCCCGAGTATCTTCAGATGAATTCGAATGATTTTGAAACATTTTCTCAATAAAATTGACCATGTTCTATCGAACATATTCACACCTTGACCAAACTTTGTTTCTTAAATATCACTGGTGTCAATGTATATAAATACGGGGGTGGGTGTGCACATTCACATACCTATCTAATATCCACACGCACATGCACACTCCAGTCCCACTGTAAACCTACATTGACACCCTCTCAGATGGAGATAAATATGCATGGTGAACATAGAATGATAAAATGTTAAAGACCACATGGATCGGCCACTGCATCTAGAAACAAAGGAAGACACTAATACTCCGGAACGAGTATTTTAACGATTATTAACAGATATATGAACTTCTAATCAGCAATAATCTCAAAAACACAATCGGATGAGTCTAATTTTAGATAGTCAATTCAGTTCGACATTAGGTGAGACTTAGTTCCACAGTGAATGAAAAACATAGCTCCACACTCACACTTGAGCGGAACAATTTCTTTGGAATAATTAAAAGTGTTACCTCGGTGAGAAATCTTCCACTAGATTCAAGTGAAGAACTTAAATTCTTCCGACGAAATTCTCAATGCTTTCTGCTCGGTCAATTATTTTCAATTGATTTTGTTGAATGAAGATTGCTTGTGCAAACGTTTCTAATCATCGCTCTCATAGCCAAAAGAGCATGTTGAGAATTTTTGCGTTTGAAGAGTGTTCATGGTTTCTTTCGAAAGGTTCAAAAAGTTATGAGTAAAGGATACACGGAAAGTAGGGCAAATTTCACTTTAATTTAGGGACTATGGAATTTTGTCTGGCAAAAGATAAAGACTTAAAGACACATGTAAAATCTAACTACACCTTCATTAATAACTTTCTCATTCCATTTTGTATTTTCACGTCACTTATTTTATTTCAAAACAAAATGAAAAGAGAAAGGCGCACCATATATGTCTTCGAAAATATTTCTTCTCCCTCACATACAACGACATATCAATGAAGTTTCTTTTCTGTAAGAGTGATGCATGAAAAGAGAAAAAAACGATAAGATAAAAGGAAGGAAGCAAAGCATGCAATACGAAACATAAGAACAAACAAGACAGAATAAGCAATGTAACTAAAGACGGATCATAGTAGAGAGTAATGACAAAATTTCAGTTTTATCAATCGAATGCAATCAATTCTATTGCCGTCGATGGAAGTAACTGCTCAGCTTTATTGAAATCACGTAAGTTAAGATTACATGCAGCGGACTGAAGTTCAGCTTGCTCGGAGGGTTGAGTTGAATGCATGCCATTGACTGCTGGTGGGATAGTGGCCACTCGAGAGAATTCAACTGGTTGCAAATTTGGTACACTTATGAGTGCATCAAGTCTCGGTGATGCGACACAATTTTCATCGATTCCTGTCAGTCTGTCTTCATCGGTTTCTCCTACTCCAAGACGATGGCGAGCAAGTATTCTTTCGCGTGCTTTATAACCCCAAACAACGCCGATCACAAGTAATAGACCACCAACTAGACCAACCACGAGGCCGATAATTAAGGTGTTATTATTCGAATTATCGGTATTACTTGCTGAATCATTACTCGATGCATCATTACTCGACGAAGACGAGACCGAGTACGAATGACCATTGATATTCACCATTATAAGATTTAAACGCGGTATGGCATTAGGGTCCGCTAACATGCTTGTAACTGGTGTATATATATTTGTATTTTCCGAGTCGATCTGAACGATCGCGCCCACACTACCTAAAACAGTAAAACGGTGCGAGAAATATTGAATTTTGGATTTTGAATTCTATAAACCTTTCACCAGAATAATATCACTAATGACAGGCATGCCAATATTAATCAAATAATTGTAGATCATTGCACGTATAATTTCAAGTTCACCGCTAGCATTGAGTGCATCAAAGTCGCCCGCAAATGTGAAGTTGCTTGAGATCGCATCGATTTCAGTGATAAAATTATCTTAAGAAGACATATGATTATCAACGATTGTCTTCTATAAGCACTGAACTTACCATTATTTTCTTTAACAAGGATTCCATTCGATGGTAGCTCAATGATATGTTCATTGTTTGAAGCAACCAATCGAATTTGCAGCACATACATACCGGTAGCATTGATGGCCAAATTAGTGATCGTAACTGTACCTGCTACGAGGTCAATATTAGTTCTTGATGAATTGTTTTTGACTAGTGATCCGTGGCGATTGAATTTCGGCAAACTAATCAGGGTGACATTGGCCGACCATCGCCAACTTCCCCATTGAATTTGTCCGAGACGTAGTCGAGTAACACTGTCAACTGGCATGACAGCAATACTAAATGTCTCATTGACATTGGCAACATAGACATTGTTCACTTGTTCGCCAGCTAGAACTGCTTGTGTCACAGAGACAGATGCAGCTTGAACACTCAGGTTTGTTGTAGCTAAGAATGAACTATTGAAAAGAACAAGTCGAATTCAAAATGATTAGGAATATCTTCTCAATACCTATTGACACCATCCGGTTGAATCAGAGTAAATTGAACTTGTTGAGTACCGATATCTGGTAGACTGAATAGAATGTACTGTGTTTGTCCATCAGAATAATTAGCTATACCACCCGGCAAAATCAGATTTGGCCGACCTACGACAGTAGCTTTCACTTGCCATGGCCGCTCGTTTGAGCCTAACTTTTGAATGACATTTCCTGCTACATCGTATGCTACGAGCACTGGTTGAAACGTGCACGGACTCTGTTGCCGGCAGTCTCTTGGTGGTGAGACCAGTAAAAGTCGATTGATGATACTCAGTTCAACTGATGAGTTATCAAATGGTTCTTGGGCACTCAAAACAGATGGGAAACTACCATTTGTTACATTGAGATTTCTCCATGCCACTTGTAATTCACCTACTTGATAACGATTTATGATAGTTGAAGCAATATTCGAGAGAATTTCTGCTCGAATTCCAGTCGAGGCAATCGAACTGGTGCGAGGCTCATCACGTAGTTCAATCTGTAATTGTATGGGTAATAGAACAGACGATGCTTGACGACGAATACGACTATTGAATGAAAGATAGAATAATGCAAAAACCAAACAAAAATATGAGACTCTTACGTTTGATTCGAGGCTGAGACAATATTAACGCGCCGAATCTTGTCTGGGCTAATATTCAAGAGAGCTGCCAAATTGGCAACAAGATTGCTGGAGTAAAACGATTCTGGATCCATTGGTGGGAAGCCAAAAGAGAGAATGAGTAGTGGTGATACTTTGATGTCGATCATAGTGCTACCATCAATAGCAATATAGGCCATTTGAGAAGTTCTATTTGTGGACAAAATAAATAACACATTTAACGTTTACTCCTTAGAGAGAAAGACGACTTTGATACGAAAAAATAAAATAAATAACAGTGTTCTCAGAATCAGTTTTACTCTGCTCTTCTAAAAGTCTTCAAGAAGTGTAATAACTCTGGTGTAATGCTTAGACATACTCAGTGCATATAATCTCTCTTGTAAGTATCAAAAATGATTTGTTCTCATTTTATTATTGAGAAAATCGTGAGAAAAAAATCGGACCTATCAAAGTAGTTGCTTCCAGATGGTGACAATAATGTGACATTATTTGGTTGATCAAGTAACATGAGACCAGGCGCTCGAAGGTCTCGATTAGTTGGCGGCATGTACATCGTGTTGGCATAGATATCGATTTGTTGTAATGAATCGTAGTGAAGAGCCAAAACACATTTTATTGTAGAATCAGCATTGAGCAAGCGAAAACGTGTATGTCTAGGAGGAGTACTTGAGAGAAAGATTTGATACGTTTGTCCAGATTGAACGATGACCATGAATGTTGAGATACGCTTTCGACAAGAATAACCATTACAGATGCTCTGGTCTTGAGGTCCATTGATGAGATCAATGTAGCCACTATTGGACATGATAGCAACAGGCGAAAGACGCCGTTTTTCCGTGTCTGAATCCATACTTTCGATGATCAACATACGATAATCAGCACTCGAATTGCATATGTACATTCCCCACGACGATTGAAGAGAACAGGAATTACTACGACTGATCCCACGATATGGATGAGTTAAGTTGATGTTGATTCTGTGTCCCGTCAAATTGGTCAATGCTATTCGAGGAATACGAAAATCCCCGATACCATGCTGTTGACTTCCTAAACAAAAAGTGTTTCAATGATTGTTTTTCTTCTTCAAATACCATCGATTACTGACCCCACAGAGATTCAGCCTGCGAAAAGACACTGGCTGGCTGACCGAAAAGTGATCCATCCGTATCGACAATCAAATTCTTTTTCAGACCATCACAATCCATATCTGCAACAATGATTTATTCAACAAACAAATCCATCCATAGCTTAGACTTACCGCCGCATCTGCTTGGATTTACCACACCTAAGTTTGGCTCCCCATTGAAAATAAGATTTTCTTCAGATATATTATAGACAAACATGGAACTTGTTGCGATCGGAAATTGTCCATCGTTATTGCTCTGTGACACTTGAATCGCTACATCGTGTCGACCACAAGTGTTGTTGAAGAAAGCAAGAGTTGTATTGGTGATGAGCATTAGACCATCGACTAGAATATTCGAAAACATCATTTAACTATCGATTAGTAATGTTCGGTGTTAACTTACGACAAGGATAAATACCAGTTCCAGTCCAGGAGCGAATGGGCATGTAGTTGTTCCTTGAAATAATTGGAAAAACTATGCCAGATCGCCCACCAGCATTACCAGAAGATGAGTTTGCTGATACGCCTGGTATTGCAATTTGTGATAATCGAATATTGATCGAATTTGGATTAATTTTATCTTCACAATCTTCCCTTGTAATCGAACCAATCACTAGCGAAGAACGAATATTGATGCGACTGGCAATCGGTACATGCGTTACAGCTAATCGTTCAAAGAGAACTCAATAGTTGAAAGAAGAAAATCAATGAAAAACATCTTTACCCGACGGCCCAATCACATAAGTGAAAATGCCAACATGACTGTCGATAGATGAGCACGAATCGATAGTAATATTGCGAGGTGTATTGATGTAGAAAGCATAGTACCATGCCTTGTAAATCCTATTTATTTTCGAAAAAAAAAGAACTATTCATGTTAATATTTGAAGTCAAAGTTGGCAAGGTTTTTTTCTGATCATGCCTTGTCTTTGATATATTCTAAACAGCCATGATTCTGACCAAACATATCTATAATGGCAGGTATATACTGTATCAGAAGCTTAAATTTACGAACTACATCAGTATTAAGATATAGGTTATGAGTCATGAAAGAAAAGTCCCATTCATCGTTGTGTATATGGTTTATTATCTATCTTTCTGATACAGCTGATTCGTCAGAAATCAAAGCAACATTGTAGATGTTTTTTTTTCTCATGTTGCTCAATCTTTTGTGCACTAGGATTTACTATTTGAGAGTCACTCTGCTTCATGTGCTAGATCAAGCACATGAATGTCAGAACTATCAAATGAGTGTTTTTCGCTGTGCCTCAATCATTCAGATCTGACGCTTACAAGTATTTGTGCGAAGAAAAAACAAATCATTAGCTGCAGTAAATATTCGCGTACGCTTTTTTTCAATCCTATTTCAGACATTGTCTATATTACTATTTTTTCGATCGGTACAACAATAGTGTACTCAATA